GGGGGGGGGGTCTATATAATTTTTACATGTGGGTCAAGCAATAATGTGAGGTTCCCTATCAGTTTACCATAGCGGCTTGTCATTAGAGATTACCATGGGGACTCTAACTGCAGAACCTTATTGTTCCTCTTTCTAACGCCCAAAATGCACCTGATCACCTTTCTGTCTCTTTGTTCATGATGTGAATCCAGCATGGACACGCCGCTGCTGCTTCATCGATTCAAGAGAAAGAAGACTATACTGAAAGCATCTATAGATTAAAGACAATAAAATATCAAAGTTTGGAAAAAATGCCTATACATTTTCACTAGCTGAACTAATGTGTAATGATAATGACAGATATGCTAATATTCAGAAAAAAGAAGTTCAACAGTGAACTTATATGTTAACATACAAGTACACAACATGTAAGTGTACAGTCAAAAAGACACAGGGTAGGTATGTTATAAACTGCAGTGTATTGTTGTAGTGCAATCCGGAATGCAAATGCTTCATGCTCAATGTGCAGACACAGTTGTGACAAGTCATCCCCAGGAAAAACAGCATTCACAGTAAAATAGCAACAGATGTATGACAGCAGATGTTGCACTAAAAAGTGACTGTTGCATGTTTGATTACAATAGAGAGGAACAGATAAGACTGAGCTGCAGGTTGGAGGATAAGTCTGCTCTGCTGGGTGGCGTTGCAGAACCGGTCTTGGCACAAAGGAGCATTTACGAAGCTCCATGGAACCTTTATAGTAACATGATCCTCTGACTGTACACTTTAACTGCTTTACAGATCAAAAAGATGTGAAGATTTAGAGTCATTTTTAAGTCCCCTCCTGACCCCTCTCTGTTCAATCGAGGGTCTTTGAGCCACAGGAAGTTCCATTTTTTGGTGCTAATACATCAATATATGTTCAAAGACTTGTTTGCTAGGTAATCTATCAACCCCCTAACTAAAGGCAGTGACCTTTTACTGCTTCTGCTTCTGAAACCACCTTTTACTGGAGCGGAAGATTTTCTCTTATTTGTTCAGAAACCAGTTTCCCTCCCGGGAAGGAAAGTCCAGAGCTGCCTTCTTTCTGTCCTCTGACAGGAGTCAATGTTGGACCTCAGCAATGAGGCTGTCAAAATGTATTTACTCAAGGCTTGTATCCCCTTATCCAGCTAACTGCCTGCTGCTGCTGCTGCTCAGTGAAACTTTAAAGTTTGAGGTACTGTTGTATGCCTCCTTCTCAGTTTTCCAATCTGCTAATTGTTTTGAATGCAGATTTCAGTAGAATTGAACAAATGGAAAATGCCTTCTCAGGCCACGCCCATGCAGCGTCACCTGGTAGATGTGAGGTAGGTGAGACGAACTTCTCGTCTGACCAGCTGGCAGCAGATAAGAGAGCAGGGAGCCTGCTCCACAGGTCTGTCAGGGAGCTGCCTGCAAGCACACATCCGTTTCTCTGTGTGTGTCTCAATAGAAAAGTGCACAGCCATTCTCTCTGTTGTCCCTCTATTTAGGTGTGTGTGTGGGGGGGGCTGTAGCTCACCAGTGTTCATGACCAGTGTCTGAGTCAGAAATCATTTTGTTTGCAAAAAAGGGAATCAATTAAAAAAAGGACCCTCAGTAAATAAATCCCACTTTAAAGAGGCTCTTCGATTTCATCGTCAAATCATGAAGAAGAAGCTGACCACAAACAAACCCAACAACTGTTGTGACTCAGCTGATGTCATTTATTGTTTTTTGTGTCGTCATCTTTAATTTTGTGTCGGTTATGATTGTGAATCATCCCACCGACAGAAACTCCCCCGTAGACTCCCAGCTGCTGACGTAATGACAGTGCTATTACCTACATGATAATTGACAGGTATGTGTAGATACTGTATGTGTGTCACACATTAGTTTGCCTGCTCTGTCATCTCATGTTACGGAGGTACACGTATTCTAGCTATGACACTTGTTCAGAAATACCCCCATGGTTAGCACATGCCAGTTGCACGTGAAATGACATCACATGATGAACCAGACAGGTGAAAGAGGATAGAAGATTATCAGAGTTAAAAAAAAGGTGGAAACACTGTAACCTGTCCAACACGTCCTTGTGAATATCTACATTTTTCAGACTGAATATTAGAACTTTGATTCAAAGGAAATATCCCTCAAAAATCTTTGTTTGGCATGAAAATGACTTCTATATAAAACTATATTTCTAATGTTCTGGTTCTCGCTCTGGTCAATGGTGAAGCTCAGATTCTCTGTAACCATAAATAAAGTGTATCAGAATGTGAAAGTGTGAAAATGCAGCTTCATACTCTTGGGAAGCCCTGCGGCAAGTTTCTGTTGCATCATGGAT